GAATCTCAGTGTATTCTTCTAATTTACATTTCTTCTGCAGCTAAAGAGCTTTGGCTTTTTTTCATGTTTTCTGGCCATTTGTGCTTCTTCATTTGAGACCCGTCTACTATATTATTTTTTGGGCCCTTCATTATGACTTTTGTGTGTGTACATGTTCATGTATGTGCACAGGTGTATGCATGAGAGCTGCATGCATGTGTGTGGAGACCAGAGGTCGGCGTTGTTTGTCTTCATCATCAATAGTATTTGAGACAAGGTCTTTCACTGAGCTTGAAGCTGATCAATTCAGCTGGCCTGGCTGGTCAGTGAGCCCCATGGATTCTCTTGTCTCTGCTCCCCAGTCTGATGAGTGCATGATGTTGAGCCTGTGTTTCTGTGAGTGCTAGGGACCTGGGGTCCAAGCTCACTTTAATGCAGGAGCTCTCCCCTCGATTCCAAGCCCAGTTCCTCATCGGCTTCTTTGCTTCTTTGGGTATTAAGTTTTTTGAGTTATTTATATACTCTAGGTATTCATCCTCTGTCCAAACATACTTTAGAGCAGTGGCTCTCCACCTTCCTAACGCTAAGACTCTTCAGGACAGCTCCTCATGTTGTGGTGACCCCCAACCATAAAATTGATTCACTGCTACCTCATAAAGGTCATTTTGCCACTGTTGTGAACTGTAATATAAATACCTTATATGCGATCCCAAAGGGGTCGTGACCCACAGTTTGAGAACAGCTGCTTTAAAGAAAGATGGGGCTGGGAAAACTGGAAGAGTGGAGGTTAAAGTCCTTCCTCTGAGACCCCAAACTGATAGAGGGAAGAGCAGGGGGAACTTGAAGACACGGCCAGATACAGACTCTCTGAAAACAACTTCAGTGGCTTGGGAAATAACACAGAATTGACAAGTAGGAGTACATGCCACTGAGAGGCTTTTGTATAGCAAAGGAAATACCAGAATGAAGAGGCCCCTCCACAAATGAAGAAAATTGCTGATGCAGGTGTTTTTAGTGTATACGTAGCATGCTGTCTGGCCTCTGTAATCCTGGGCATGGCGACTGTGCAGACAGAAGCATGCAGGCAGTCCCTGGGGGTTGGGCTTGAATCCTGTCCAGTGACATCAAGTGATGCCATCCTAGTGTGTGCAGAGATAGTGGCCAAAGGAGGACCCAGCGAGCCTGTGGTGTCACCAGGTTTCTTGTGGGAAGTCTGGGGAGGCTGTGGTTAAGTGTATGGAGGGCTGTCGTGTCAGGAGAAAGGTCTGATTCTGGGCAGGCAGAGTACACGGCAGCAGCATTTGAGTGTTCTGGAAGACAAGACAGGCTGTAAGCAAGCAAGCTGATTGCAATGGAACGGTGGTTTAAAAGGGGCTGGATTCTCCTGGGAAGCTCAATCCCCACTGCTCCCTTCCCCTGACACATTCCGGGGGAACACATGTCACTGGGATGAAAAGGCGGCGTGGCCGAGTGTAGCAGGAACTCATCATTAGGGTTTGATTTGGAGACCTCTGAACAAATAACCGTGAGGCCTTGAGCTGGGCATCACAGCCCCATTTCAGTGTCTGCTGCAAGGATGAAAAATCTGCAGAAGATGTCCGTTCTCAGTGGCTGTGAGACTCTCTCTTCTCATGTTATTTGTTCTCACTGGTGACTAACCTGAAGGTTATGGGGATCTTTGACAGGAGTTGTTGGCTTTATGGAGATGCCTTTTCTCAGTGGTTTGCATCCCTCTTGTGTTTTCTGTTGTTAGCTTCCCTTTGTAGCTAAGACCCAAAGATTCCTGCATCTGGTAAAATGTAAAGTGTAGTAGTACTAGTCACCTCTAGAGAGCCATTTCATCTTTTTTAAAAGGTGTTTTGAATATTGCTTTTGGCATTTTTTGAAGCTGAATCATACATCTGAAATTGCCTGTGTTTTAAAAGTGTGACTTTTTCATATTTTAATCATGTACTATTATCATTATTATTGGTTTGGCTTGTATGTTGTTGTGTGTGTTGTGTGTTGTGTGGGGTGCAGGATGGAGGCTAGAACAAGACCTCTGGTGTCTTTCTGTATCACTGTCTGCATTATTGCCTTGAGACAGGGTCTCTCATTGAACCATAACATTGCAATTTACCTCAGGCCCGCTGTCCAGCAAGAGTGTTCCACCTGTCTCTCCTCTCAGGACCATGGAGCCATGCCTGGCTTTCTGCTTGGGTGCCAGGGCTTCTAGTTCGGGTCCTTGCGATTGCTGAACAAATGCTGTCACCCACGGAGCTGTATTTTTCTCCTTTCTGTCTTGTTTCTTGACAAAGTTAAAAACTAGTTCACAAAACTCATTGAATATGTAGGGGCAATGTGTCTAACTGTAGTGATTTCTCTGATGTATATGATTTGGATGAGTGTCTCTCCCTCTCAAAGCCTGCTCTGGGCAACAGTTGACAGGATGTCCGTAGGATCCTCAGACTTCTAGACTCCACCCCAGCTATTGGATAGAATCGTCATTTTGACAGGTGAACTTCTTCTCCAGTGGCATGTTTCAGAATCTGCCTAAAAGCCACCATCCCAACTTTCTGTTTGTTTGCTTTCCAGCACTTGTTAAAAGATGTCTGGCATCGTGACAGGATTCTCTCACACTCATGGGCCCATTTAATCCTCAGGACAAGTCTCTGAAGGAGGTGTTATTGGAGCTAAGAACAGTTGTCACTGAGCCTGCCAAAGATATCATGAAATGACACTTTCTAGATCCTGTGTGTCCCAAGTCAGGGACAGGAAAGTTGAGGCCTGCTTGTCTCTGAGGTGCACGCCCTGCGCTTCTGGGAAGAGCTGGGTGCTCTGGAAGGATTGCAGAGGCAATGGACGCTCCATCCCAGTGCTGGCAAGAGTATACCCATGGGCCTCATGTGACATCTGTGCCGTGGCCTCCCAAAGCATCAGCCAGAAAATAGCTCAGAGAGCTGCCTGCCTCAAAATACACTAAAATCAACCTGTGTGTCCATCCATCCATCCCTCCCTCCATCCCTCCATCCATCCCTCCATCCATCCCT